CGGATATGCACTTTAAAGAGCATATATCTGCAGAAAAAGGAAAGAGCCGCAGTGTTCCTATAAACCGTACGTATGTGCACAGTGCTCATGATCATGTGATCATCTATCGTGAAATACTATAGCTCGCAGGCTTTCCAGCGGCCCTAAAATTCCTAAAAAAAATTTCCACAGATAATTATGTTTTCAGTTTTTGGTGATGAGATGATGAACTTTTAGTTTGTAATTATGTCTAATGCAGGGTCTCCAACCATTCCTCATTCTGCGGAATCACTACGATTTCTAGGCTTAATTTCCGCATTCTGCAGCGGCAAGGTTATATTCCTCATTTCAGTTGCACTGTACAAAATTTGCACTAATTATTCGCATTGTTTGCTTGGACACATTGTTTTTTTTTCAGGCATTTTGTATCTGGCATGTCTACGGTTATGCTAGCCGCACATTATACGATTTTGCACTGTGCACAACACTAAGCCATCGCACATTATACGACCCACTCCCGATCGATTGGGAGGCCCCTGCACACTGTCCGACTCAAAGTTGGCGCAAACCATGGCACTCTCGTGGCGTTCCAAGCGGATTTAAGCGTTGGAAAAGCGTTCCAAGCGACTTTTTCCGACTCGTCATGGCGCAACTCTCTGTATATATAGGGACCCTAGCATGTACTAAGGGTCGGGAGTGTTTTCCCGCCATTATTACCGAATGCGGTTCCTATGGCGCTGCTCTGTGATTGGTCAATTTTCTTCAGCGCTCGGCGGCGGGTCGGATGGCCACGCACACTATCCGAGTCGCGTTGTAAGCCCTCGCACACTATACGACCCGCTCCGCTCCCGATTCAAAATTTGAATCGGGCCAAAATGACCTCACGAGCCAAACTTAAGCCTCCCGATCCAGACGTAAGCCTCCAGATCGCGCTCGGGTCGGATAGTGTGCGGCTAGCATAAATGGAACAACCTAGTCAGACAGGCGCTGTCTGCAAGGTGTCGCGTAGTTTGTCTGCTAATCAGACAAGGGTTGTAGGGTTGAGATAGTGTTATCAGACATGAGAATATGGCCCACAGTATGCCTCAGATTACTGGAAAATGGCTTAAATATTAAAAAAATTTCTGGGGGGATTTTTCCCAGACCCCCCTAGCACTGGCATGCCTACGCCACGCGGGCCTGCCTGCGGCAGCCAAGGTACATTCCCCCCCCCGTCCATCAATTTCTGAATACGCCACTAGTTAGTGATCACCGCGGGAACATACCGCATTTGGAGTTCACAGGGTTGGAGACCCTGCTAATGGATGTTTTCTAGTTATCTTTATACAGAGTGAGTATTGTGANTCGTGCGATCGCGCCTGACTCAAATTATGTTAGCAATATTAAACAACTAGAATTTTTCAGTTTTCTGATCGGGCAACTAGCCAAGAGAATGACTTGTCCAACATAGACTTTTACTTGCTCCGGGCAATCGGACAACTGTTAGTGTCGAGTGCTGTATTCTGATGTGATAAATTGTTAATAAATTGCTATTAAGGAAAATGGCTAAATACCAGCATATGATTAGTGCTATTTCTGGCAATTGAGATGATCAAGATTTATTTATTCACAGATCTCCGAAGATTGTCCACCAGCTGCCTACTTCATACAATGTCTCAATTGCCCAGCCCAGCCCAAGCTTACGTAAATCCTCGGTCGAATGAATCTGGAGACTCTGGATTCGGTAGCAACCCTCGGTCAAATGATCCTCCTATCCAGGACTGCTTAAGCCCCATATCAAAAACATCTGAAGACACTGGAATCGGTAGCAACCCTGGGTCAAATAATCCTACCCAGCACTGCTTCAGCCCCATGTCAAACACATTTGGAGACACTGGAATCGGTAGCAACCCTGGGTCAAATAATCCTCCTACCCAGGACGACTGCTTCAGCCACATGTCAAACACATCTGGAGACTTATCAAGTGTTGGTGACAACGTTATGTGGAATCATGGGACAGTCTCGTGTAATGACGTTTCAAACAGCATTCAATTTGTTGGCAATCTTGGATCAAACAATCCAGTAAGCTTTGCCAACTCTGCAGGAAGCAGCGCTGTAGCATACACAAACACTGGACATTGCGATCCAGCAAGCTATGAAAACTTTGGAGCAAACATTCCAGTAGCTCACGCAGTCACGGGACAAAGCAACCCAGCAAGCATGAGCTGGTCACCGGACACTGCAGTGGCTTACACCAACAACACCGAAACAAGCAACCCAGCAAGCTATCCCAATTTCAATCTGGAGACGTTGGACGTTTTATTGGCCTCCATTCGTCGCGATGAAGAATTGGCCAGTGCACCTGAGGTGACGGACAACATGATGCATCTGGAGATGCCGAGAAATGTCACGCCGAACTTGTTTGAATTGCAGGTTGGAAGTAACTCGCAGATGACAGATGTGGTAACTTTCGTTTCACCTTCATCGAAATATGTAATGCTGAACTAGATTCATAGAGACACTGATTGTGTAAACG